ACTAGTCATGTGACTCGCTGACGCAACACTAGTAATAGTACTACTAGTAGAATTTGTATGACATACCATTGCGAAGACAATCTCCTTCAATGTTTAATACTAATATTTATAGATGCTAATAACGGTAATATTTAACAATAACCCCAGCTTATGCACCCGAATTTACTATTTTTCGACGAAAAAAGCTTTGAATCTCAATACAGGAATAGTATCCGAAATAACATTTGACAACCTATGCAGTGCTTTATAACTGAACATTGGGGAAGTGGACTAAAAATCACTTTTGTGAATGAATTACGATGTTGTGAAGTGGGAAAATCGCCACAAAACTTCCACTTTAGGACAAGCGAAATCGACTAGTTGTGTAAAGTGACATTCTTGTATTCAGTGGTGGTAATAAAGACAATGGGAGGGGGGGGGGGTTAAACCCATACATTAGGAATGGTATAAAATGACAAGTTCCAAAATAAACAAGGGTTTAATAACAAGTGTTGAAAACAATGGAAAACCTTTTATTAGAAAATTAGTAACACCTTAATTTTAATTCTGTTTTACATGGTTTCAATAATTGGCTTCACTGAGCTGCTATTCACGTTTTTCAAAATACTCCTTTGATATTTTTACCTGTTTCTGTACTTTTCTTTGTCTTTACCTAGCTTCTTCTGTATAACTTCTGTAAATGGAACAAAACATTACTTTTGTAAATTAATATTGGATGCAAAATTTTAAAGAATGTTGTAATGTAAAGTGGTTATAACTTGTATGGTTTGTAATTAATTCCTATCTTTTAATCGTATAATAGCTCCTTTAAATGTCATTAACTTGTTTGCCATAAAATTTCCTGACATAATACTTCATTCCCAAGTCATTTTTGTGTGTATTTTTCTGATGTTTCTCACTCTTGTCCAGTAGTATAGCACTGGAATAGTTTCTTTAAATGTTTATTTTAAGATCTGTTTATGCAATGCATGTTTCAAATAGTGTAGTTCTTAAAAAGAGGTTCAGGTGTTTTGGGCCTCTTGTTTAGTTATGAAAACATGGCAAACTTGAATGCATAAGTTTTAAGTTATTTTTGTACTTTACTTTTTGGCAATAGGTTATTGAATGAATTTCTATAGGGGTATGGGTACTGCTAATACTACTCATCAGCCTTACTGCTATTAAAGCTGCCCTGTGCTTCATATTATGACTTTTGCACTACAGTGATAAAAGCTGCAAAGAATTTAAAGAGTAGGAAAGTCCTAATCAGTTAATATTAATAAGCTTGAGTTGTAATGTTAGGATCAAACAGATAAATAATAACTAACACTTTAGTTAAACTTGTACAAAATAATATAAAATATTTTAAGACTTGTTTATACTATTCCTTCACTAAATGTTTCATACTGGAAGTTTACCTCCCCCCCCCCCCCTATATTAATATTACACTACAATATTTGTATAACAAATTATATTGAACAGTACTCATGGGCATTTGTGACTCAAGATATATTTCTGAACTGACTTGTACTTCAACTGTATTAAATACATCACAAATAAGTGAACTCTTGTTTGCTATGTTTTGTTGCATCTCCATATTTAAAAAATAAAATTAGCAGTTTCAAACTTCAAAGTATCTCAATTATGTCAGTTCTGTGTAATAGTTTACTTTGAATTACCACTTTCTGTTTGGATCTAGAGAAATTTCTACCAGGCTGGAGCATTTAAACAAGTCAACATTGTTTTACTACTTCTCATTGAATACACTTATCTTGCTCTTATAATAGTTAATATTTCAACTTTGATTATTTTTCAAAGCTCTGGTTATAATAAATATATTACAATTTGATAAATGAAGAAAAGTGTGAATGTACCATACAATTTTGTTTAGGCAAAAATGAGCATTATTTTTCATAAAGAAGGGCTATATTTTTAGTGTTAAATATTTTCATACAAACTGCTTTCTTGTATCTTATTTAACAGCTTTAGTTTGTTTTGTTTTCATGGTACTAACAAATTCTATGTTCCATGACAATATTCTTTTGAGTAATGAAAAATTGACTTTTTTCTGTTTGTTTATCAGATTTGCAAATATAAAGCTCGACCCTGTTAATTTTAATATTTAAGTCTTCTTGTATACTTTTGTAAATAAAATTTCAAGGTTAAGCTTCACTACAGAATATATCTTATTCTTGAATTTTAATTGCAAGTCCACAAATTTTTACTTACTATAATTTCATTTATATGTAGCTGGCCCAGCCAATCCGACTACTGCTAGCCTACAATGAAACTGAGTTTGAGGACAAACGATACAACTGTGGTCCCCCACCTGATTTTAACCGCAGCTCTTGGTTGAATGACAAACATTCCTTGGGACTAGACTTCCCTAATGTAATCATTCTATAGAATTGTAATTTAATGTACATATATTGAAACTTCACTTTATTCAGAATACAAGTTTGTTTAAAATATTTTAAACATGGATTAGAAAATGTGGAATTAAATAGTTGTAATATTATTCTAATATAATAAACTAACAAATGGATTTATATGCACAATAAAACATTTGTAGAAGGCAAACTATTTTCAAATATGCATGATCTTCACATAACTTTATGCTTATAAATCATTTCAATTTCCTAGTTAATAGTTTTTACACTGCACCAAAAATAACTTCTAAAGGGAAAAAAGAAAGGAGGGATTAAAAAATATTTTCAATAAATTAGTTTGAATATATTAAATATTGCCTGTACTGAAATACAACTTCTAACTGATGTACTGTACTATCTTTAGCTACCATATTATATTGATGGAGATACTAAAATCAGCCAAAGTGGTGCTATTTTGCATCATCTGGCAAGGAAGCATAAAATGGGTGAGTAATGTATTTTACTTTTGTCAAACAAAATATTGGTAGAGAAAATAATGTAGTGGCAAATCATTCTGTAATAACTAGGACTAAATCACTTCTCTTAAGGTTTTTTTTCTTGTTGTTCAAACTATTGTCGATGACAAATCCTTTTAATCTCTCAGATGGTGAAACTGAACAAGAAAAGATCAGGATTGATATGGCTGAACAACAGCTGGTAGACTTTAGAATGGGTTTTGTTAATCTTTCTTATTCTCCAGATTTTGTAAGTTCTTTTTTCTTTTTAACATTACTAATTATAATGGGATATTTCAAAGATGCTTTTTACATTAATCCTTAACTTTCTATAATCCAGGATTAAATCATTACACATAAAAATCCTCATAAACGTTTTTCCACATAATTGCTTTTAAACTTCTAAGATAAAAATTAAACATGTTAAATGGCAGATTTTCTTCTACAGTACATCAGATAATGCATGTTTCCCACTTTTCTATAAATTCCACTAAATACAGTACTGTAACTAATTATATATTAGGTGTAGGTGTTAATACATTAATATACTGTGCCTTTAAACTTGATGTACTTTAATTTCCCAAATTTTGTATTTTAAGTGAACAAGTAACTTTCACCTTTTCTGTAGGAAAGTCTTAAGGATGGTTATTTGAAAGATCTGCCTAACCAACTGAAACTGTTCTCTAACTTCCTTGGAAAGAACAAGTGGTTTGCTGGGGAGAAGGTAAGATTCATAGATTCTGTATGTTTTGAACTTGTTAAAAAAAAAAAAAAAAAAAAAAAACTCTATAAGTGTAGTACACTATTCTACATAAATTTAATATACTAACAATCTTCATAACTAGTCTGAAGTTAAATTTTCACTTGTTCATATGCATTGAATTAATCTTGCATAAAAAATAAATCGTTATAACCACATCTCATTGTTACTGAAATTCTAAACTGTGTCCCTGTTACATTGACTCATTTATTTAGTATTAAGCTACATAAAGCCTATCTTTTTGGCTATATTTTAATTTGCAGCTCTAAAATGTGTAGTAAGTTATAGTTTCAATTTTAAATTCAAAGTATCTCTGGAAATATGAAGGAATATTATTTGTTTTGAGTTTTTTTTTTTTTTCCTTAGTCATTTAATGGCTATGGGAAATTTATTTGCTTATCTTTACATATCACATCTACTACTAATGCTCTGACGTAGCTCTTATCTTAATGTAGAAGAAAGTTAGTATAGAACATAACTTACTTTCTTCAATGTTTCTAGTTGTCATATGTGGACTTCATCATCTATGAAATGCTGGATCAACATAGAATCTTGGCTCCAGACTGTTACAAAGACTTTCCAAATCTCAAAGAATTTCTTGATGGATTTGAGGTGAGATTATCAAAAGGGTTTTAAGGAACCATTATATTGAAGATTATTGCTGTTTACTGTTGTAACTAATAAATTAACTATCACACTTGTGTAAGATGAAGATCTGCAATAGGTGATAATGGTATTTTTCAAAGATGTTCAAAATTAATGAAATGTATTAATTTCTTAGAACTTGTGTTCAGTTAATGTGTGGTAAAATTGATTAACTGTCTTTGAAACATCAAATGCAGTTTAATCATTGACTCAAAGAAATTACCAGAACATTAAACCACAACATTTTATATTGTATGTTTGAGGGGGGGGGGCTATTGTTTTTATTTTAACTTGCATGAAACTCCACATCTTAAACTGATACTCTACCGTATTTGCATGAGACTTGTCTTAACTTTCAGAATGCTTAATGCTTCCTCTTTCCTTTGTATGTTTTTTATATGTAACTTCTAATGTAATATTCTGAAATGACTGCTAATTAAAAGGCTACCAAGCAACTGAATGCACCCTCAAAGAGTAACCAAATAAAGCAACAAAACTTGCAGAATTTCATACTCTTCTCAAAAACTAGCAAGATCTAGAACTTAGCCTGTTTACAGATGGCTTTGTCTAGCCACCAAAGACTGCTTATTTGGTGATAGATGACTTTTTTTATTCTCTCAAAATCAAAATTGGTATTAGTATAAATTCTTTAAAACATTTACTTTAATTAGTTTATATTTGATATCACATTGTAAGTACTTAATTATTTACAAATACTAATGCAAAATAAATATGGATTCGTTCTTTTTTTGTATTTTTGTTAGGGTCTACCCACAATCCAATCATACATGAAGTCTGAAGAGTACATAAAGTGGCCATTGAATGGTGACATGGCAAAGTTTGGAAGTAGACTCCAGCCTCTTCCACAGTGAATACATTATCAGCTGGATCTGAAATATAACCTGGTTAATTATACTTATGATAATTTAAGCAATGTTAAAATATACAATCAAATTTACTTTTATATTGTTTTTCTGAAATAAATCTGTATTTGTATTTTTGACTTCATTTGTAATAAACTGTATCAGCTGACCGTTTCTTAATGTTGTAATCATTCTAGCAACCTATCGTTAATATTTCCCTGAAAAAGGATAATGTAGGAAAGAACTTAAAGCAGTATTCAGTTTTTTTTATTAAAATAACATTAGCTAAAATGTATCCATAACTTAAATCATATCTCTTAATTCATCAATAACTTGCTTAGTCCTCTGAACTTTATCTTTAAATTTTTATCTGTAGATACTTTCTCAACCAAAGTGCTCAAATATAGTTAACTTTTCCAGTATATTCAGTGTTTTACTGGACATGTCTGTGAATGTCACTTTGGTACAGATACTAAAGTTTTTGTGCTATTCTGTAACTTTACTGTTATTTGTGATATCAACTAACTTTACTATAACATGGTTGTAACCTAAAAAATCAGCATAACTCAAATTTCATTAATTAAAATCATAGGGCACCAAACTATAGATTCTCCTCATTAAAATGGTAAGCACAGATAATGTATTATCAAAGCAAAGTTTGTCACTCCATATTGGCTAAACTACCATTACATGTGGGGTCATAACTTGTGAAGTTAAGATGATTTGATCTCAAGTCATCTTGAGCATGACCATAAATAGGGAAATATTGGATTTAGCCATTTAAATGTATAAATGAAAATAACTAAGTAAAATATAGCTGACTAATTTGTTTGGGTTAATGTCAAAGAACATTAACATAAAGTTATTAGTTGTTCATAAACATGTTTTGGATGCCAAGAAGGAATACTAAGTGGCCTAACTTGCAGCACTTGGCATCAAATATTTTGGCCTTTATGAAAGTGGGCTGTATGCTACACTTAACATGTTTTTCTTTGGAAGTATAACATTCACCATTGTGGTTTAATTTATACATCCAGTTGGATAGTTTCACTATTAAAATATTAAGAAAAGAATTTCTTGAAGCTGAACTAAAAGGTATTTTAAGTGCATGTGTAATTTAATTTCTCTGAAAACTTTATAAATTTTGTTATCCAGAAACTGAAATCTAAAAATGTTGCTAAATTCTGATAGAAAGTTTTAAAAAAAAAAATAATTAATATGAACTTCACATAATCTGATTGTGCAGTAACTGTCTGCTTTATTGGCTGGTTTACCTTCTTTATGGAACATTTGCTTGCTTGCAAGAGGCTATGATGTAGCCAAAATACAAGGATAAATTCTAGTGCTGTTAATTGTCTCTGATATATTTTGGAAATTCCGTTATCATAACAATGTTTTTGTTATATCATGCTTGATGTAGCATTAGAGACTTTGGTTTGTAGATGTTACTATTTTGAGTTACATGGTCATTCAATCACTTCATTATGAAAGTGTATACTCATGTCTGGACCTGTTTTTTGAATACTTGTACTTTTTTTCTTCTCTCTCTCTCTCTCTCTCTGTGTACATGTTGATATTATTGGTTATTTTTGTGTATGTATAATTTCTGTTTTCACTAATTGTGTAGTATTTCAGGTGTTACTACAATTTCTTTGGGTCTGTTCTATCATTGAGTTTGAGGCAGAAATTTTATTTTTAATTTCTTAGCTTTGTGTTTTATTTTTTAGTGTGTTAACTTGTATTTTGAGTGTGTGTGTGTGTGTGTGTGTATTTTTTTTAATTTGTAAAGGCTCTTAAGAGAAGTAATTATCAAAATAAAACTTCCTGCATTTGACAAGATTTATGTAATTTTTTTTTTTTCTTAAACACAAGTTCTGTTTCTTCAATATGTATTTGTTTACAACAAATATAAATAACATTGTAGGAATTACAACTGAATCTATAGCTAAAGTTATTTTCTCCACAGTAGGGCCTATAATATTCTTAATGTATGTAATATAACCTTTTCCACGAGTTTTCTTGGGGAAATTTAAATGTGTATTTTAAGAAAAAGGTAAGGTTCTGTTATAGTGTGATTTATGTAAGCTAACCTTCAAATTACAGACTTGTTTTTGTAGACCTTTCAGTACTAGTGAGATCCACACATTTTGTTAATAAGCATGAAACTTGATTGTTTTTATTGAAAATATGGATGGCTCTATTACAAATAAATGTGAACTGCATATTAACTTATAGATCTGAAAAGAGAACAATGCTACTATTGGCCAACTCTTTGAGGAGTTGCAATATCTTGGACACAAAGTTGCAAGAAACACAATAAAAAAATAAATTGACAATCAACTGATGAAATCTAAAATCATTTCAGCATTACTTAAGTGGAATGAAATTGTGGGATATCCAGTGATGGCTACTTTACCATCTTTAATAGAAAAAAAACAAAAAAAAACTGCTTATAAATTCTTGAATTGTCTTCTTCAACAGCTAAAATATATGCATATTTAGTATTTGTTTTATTGAAATTGCTCAATTCCTTAAAATTGTGGTGATTGGTGTATTCTTTTTTTTTTTCATATAAAAGAACATTAATTTCCTTCCCATTCATGAAGTGTAAAAACAAATCATCATCTTAACTACCTGCTTGATAAATGCAATGACTTTCAATTTGTTTGATTTTTTAAAACAACATTGTTATTTAAATACAGATTTAAGTTTAAACATAAATTCATCTGAAGTTGTAAACTGTTATTAAAAATATATATTAAGTTCATTTTACTGATTGTAATATATCTTCTAAAAGTTCTACGAAGAAAACTATTTTATTCTTTTCTTTATTACCTAATTTTGTATCTCGGTATGAGTGGATTCCATTTCTGATTGTAACATCCCCCCCCCCAGTGGCACAGCTGTAGGTCTGCGGACTTGCAACATTAGAATCCGGGTTTTGATACCAGTGGTGGATAGAGCACAGATAGCCCATTGTGTAGCTTTGTGCTTAATTTCAAACAAACAAACTAACTGTAACAGAAGCCAAAGAGTTTAGATTTTTCGCTGGAGATTGTGACATTGGTGCTAAGGGTAAATATCTCAAGTGACGAGTCTAAGGAAGAACGGATAAAAAAGTTTTAAAGGTTGTTCGTGTAATGTCCAAATGAAAATACGAAGTATTCTTGTTTCAATGTTGTCTACAAATTCGATAAAAGCGGGCAGAAGCTTCGGTAAATGATTTTCTAATTGTTCAGTTAACTGTATTTTTCCTTGCTATGATGACTAAATTCGGAATAGTTTCGGTGACAATAAACAACTGTTAGTTTTAAAGTATCCCTTTCTTTGAGTTTCCTAAGTAAGTCGTAAAACTGCTTTGTAACTTGAATTTTTTTAGTACTGAGTTCATAACACCCTTCGTGTTGTTACTGGCTGAGTTAGCCTCTTCCTGAAAATCTTGCCTAGTCATGAGGTATCACATAAGCAACACGATTTACCCCAGTAATCTGGCCAAAACATGCGTTATTAAAAATTTGCACAGTCAGAAAAAAAGAGTAACAAGCTGCTAAAATTGACTTTCAAGCGTAAGTGTTGTCCTTTTCCGTTTTATCATTTAGATTTAATGTTCGAAACCGAGTGAACCTGGGATAACATCAAGAGTGATATAAACTTGTAATGGATTATAGATGTTCTTTTTTTTTTTTTTTTGTAATATTGTTAAGGTTTAAATAATGCACCCAAATTGAGTAAATCTTTTTTTGTTACTTACATACACTAAAACTTGCTATAGTTTCTTAATAGATAAGCATATGATCATTATTAAGAATTTCCGTTCGAAAGTAAACAGATCAGAATTAAAAAGTAACTTAGAAATTATTGAAGCCAATCCTAAATAATATTAACTAAAAGTACTTAATATCGTAAATCCAGTATTTTTCTTGAACTAACACTTTATTTTAATAGTATTGTGTCGCGTTTGCATGTTATAAAAAGTAATTTTCTAGTATCATTAACAAGATAATAAGAAAATATTTCGTGTTGAGGAAGAAGCACAACTAAAGAAATGGAACCACGGCAATCCCATTCAACAACATGGCTGTCTCATCCTCTTATGATGTTTTAATTTACTTCTGTACCTTCGCTCTTGGAAGGGCAGCATCTACCTAAGTGCATTGGAAAGTTTGTTAAAGTATGTGGTCTAAAGTTGACCTCTCTACCCTTTGCAAAAGCTTGTGATGTCTGGCAGTAGTGCATAATATCGTAATAAGATTGGGTACATTTGATGATGACGTAGTCGTTCATAAGACCTGGAACATCGTTATCATACAGTGTGATTAATCCTCGGTATTTAAATGAGTTTGTTATAGGATGTAGAACCAATTCTTCAATAACTTCAGCCCCCTCCCCCAGTACACAACGGTATGTCTGCAAACTTGCAACGCTAGAAACCGGGTTTCGATACCTGTGGTGGGCAGAACACGGATAGCCCATTGTGTGTGTATATATAATAATTCACGTGCAATAAACATTTTCCCTTCAAATTCCCAACAATATTATGTTGGCTTATCTAATAAATAAGGACGATCTGAACTGACCTCTGCTTTACAGGCGAATATTCACAAATATACGAAGACACCCTGTTTCTCTGCAAAATGGAGGAACTAACAATTTTGAGAACTTATATTATTAGATTCACTAATTATAAAAAGGTGTAAAGTAGTAGCATTATATTTACCTTCGTTCTTTACTTTAGGCTTGTCCCCAGGATAAATTAATTTATGCCTTAAATTCAAAATAAACAACTAGTTTATATATTCCATTGAAACATCGACTCAGAACTACAGGGTTTCCGAAAATTACGTGACGTTTTACAAACTTAACACAAGACAGTCAAAATTACTATCTTATAATTTGTGGTGGATGAAGGGCACATGTATAACGCATATGGTGTCACTAAACACTTGAATAACAAACTCTGGGAAATGGAAAGCCTTGCTACACATATGTGACAATTATAGTAGTAAATTCCCACCGGCTAGCCTCGGCTTTACAGGTTATCACAAAGAAATTTTCACAGGCATACGAAGTAGAGGTATACACAAAGTACAAGAACAACCATCCTGTGGCTAGCGGACATGAAATCGCTTATTCTAGTGCAAAAACAATATAGTAAAGTGTAAGATATAT